ACGCACGTATAAGAACACACTCCAGTGGGCCTTTAAATTCACAGCCACAAAAGCACACAACCACATCCAAAGACACGCACGTATAAGAACACACTCCAGTAGCCCTTTAAATTCACAGCTATAAACTTAAATACGTTACGAGCGACGTGCTCGTTGCACATTGTACGCCCGTCTAAGCACACGCACTTGTCAACGGACACACACGTACCCGAACACATTCCAAGCATCATACCCACCCTATCGTCGTCATCGTTAATAAACAAAACAGAACCCACTTTTGAGCCTTTTACTCGCACGCATCGTGGTTGTAACACACATATCAGACCCCACTCAGAGCATTCTACCTACCCATACCGTTATCGTAATACACAAAACAGAACCCACTTTGTGCCGTTTGCTCACACACATCGTGGTAGTAACACACATATCAGACCCCCCTCGAAGCATTATATATACGAAGTAACACACATATCAGACCCCCCTCGAAGCATTATATATACCGACATCGTAATACACAAAACAGAACCCACTCTGAGCATTCTACCTACCCATATCGTGGTCGTAGTCGTCGTCGTGGTCGGATTCGTCCTCGCCTACAGAAGGCTCAGCCGTTTTCTTGTCTTCGTCTGGTTTTCTTTTCGGTTCGCCGGCCCGTTCCTCTCTATGGATTGCAACACACAACCAGACAAGACGCGATGAATACGGTATATCGTACGCAACTGAAATGTAAATGAAGTGGATATAACAAAGTGTGATATGTAATAACGCCAGTACAGTGAGGCGCCAGCACAGTCTCCACTATTGCGCACCACCATACACTAACAGTATAACAAGTCATAGTGTCAATACTCTCTGTTTAACACATAAAAGAGACTGTGACGAAAAGTGTGCACGAGCATGATAGGACGCATCTTCCAGCGCTATGCAAAGTTTTGTATAAACCACTTAGCATTCATCGGAAGTCAAAATCAATAGTAAACATATGTATATATATATATATACAAGTATATATATATATATATACAAGTATATATATATATATATATACATATACATCAAATTATACATATACATACACATATAAATATAAATATACACGTACATGTACATGTACATATACATATACATATACATATACATATACAAATACAAATACAAATACATAAACATAAACATAAACATAAACATAAACATAAACATAACATATACATATACATATACATATACATATACATATACATATACATATACATATACATATACATATACATATACATATACATATACATATACATATACATATACA